GGGTGAACCTATCATGGATGAATTTGTGAAATTTTTTCACAGCAAAAATTATTCCTAATCTCTCTTTCTTTATCTAGTGATAATTCTTCTCAACTGATAAAAGTGACCTTGATGCATGCGTTATTGCTTTTACAGAACCATCTTTGTGCTTATGCAAAATTATGACACCCCCCCCCAGCAATTTCTTTTAGTAATGTTAATATTGGTTTACTGATTCCTTCCCATGTTTCTTTGTTTATAATATTCAAATCTGACCCTATGTCTATCTGAAACTTTATATTTCTTCTATTTATTTTTACAGTTATAAATTTTCTTTTTTGGCCATTGTCTGTATTGTCTGTCTTTGACACTATGTTTACAGTACAAAATTGAATTTTGACTTTTTATTCTTTATTTTTTTAACTTTACAATGCAAACTCTTGTCCCACATTTCCAGTTAAAACATTTTTTGTTCTTAAAAGGGCAATTCCTCTTGAAATGTGGTTCACTGCACCCATAACATGAATTTGGTTTTGTAAAGTATTTTATTTTCCCATATGCTTTGGGACAAAGCAAATTAATGCCACATACATCTTTTCCTTCAATTCTAGCCATATCATGTCATAAGTTCACTAGTCAGCTACAGCTTGCAAGGTCATTTTTGAGTCCTGTTCAAGCTTAATCAAAATTCTAGAACAGATTTCCGCATCTCTATTTGCTGTCAGCCCTTATATGAAGATCAAGCATTTAAACATATCGGGTGTTAGTTTGCTTAACTTGAACTTTTCACATTCCCTGTTTATGATACTAGCATAAGTGATATAATCTACATAATCATTTTTTTTTCTTTTTTTACAAGATTTAGGCATTGTTAATGTGTATTGAACAATGAACTTTGTTCACTGAAAATTTTACTTAACAGCAACATATTTCCTTCAAACGACAATTCACTCGATTTTTTTCAGTAATATATAATTCATGTATTTTTTGTGTTCCATGGGCTCTAACTTTCTTAGTAACAGGCACACTTTTTTCTTGTCTGACCAGCTTATACAGTCTTTTTCAAAGATTTCCTCATGGTGTCTGTAGTATGTTGTAAATGTAACCTCTCCATCAGTGTTATATTTAAATTCGCCAATTGCATTTACTACTGAGTCCTGTAAGGAAAAAAGCAGACGTTTTCATTACTTTTACTCTTCACAAAAGTTCTAGTATTTTTTGCTGTTGTTCTTGTTGCCTCAACAATGTTTTCTGGAATTGTTGTTGCTGTTCTTGTTTTATTAATTCCAATATTACTGTTTTATTTATTTGACTTGAAAATTTGATTCCAATTTATATTTCAGATGTTTTAATGTTCTGTTGTTTCCGGCATAAGTTTTTTTTTTGATGCACTGATTTCACAAGTTGAAAAAAAAAACGAATCTTTGTCCACCACTATTATAATAAATAGTGAATCATCCTCATCATCAATTGTTGTGATGTGAGACCTGGCAAGACACAACACTTGACAGTCATGAAAGTAATAGTCAGTACTCTGCAAGACAAGTGACTGCCATAGTATTACCCTCTTTCTAGACAATTGCCCAGAACTACTTATCATAAATGGATCATTCCATTCATGATAGTAAGGAGGGTTACTGGCTCTTACCACAACAGATGTTTCTCTTGCCTATGTGATTTTACCAATAGCAGATTGATTTGGGGAGACTTTTTCTCATGTTTGAAATCACCATTTTTCATGAGTTGAAAATAACATGCTTTGCCAAGTGGATGCTTGCTATGAGATCTAAGTGATCTACTTAATTGTCCATTTGTTAATGACTAAATAAAACTACTAAGCGCTGGTTTTAAAATGTCACTCATTTTTCAATTGTTATGTTAGTGTTGTAGAGTAGTTTTCACAGTGGAGGCTTGTATTTCGCTAAGTCGGTCCTAAAAAGGGTCCGACGTACAAAACGTTAGGAACTTGAAATAAGAGTTAATGACGCAGCAATCTAGTTGTGATGGTTGATACTTCAATGTCCGACATCGACTGACTCACTTAACACCACTGAGCTCAATTGGCCACTGCTACTACTACTTATTATCTGTGGGAGAGTCTATTACAATAGAATAGGTAATGTTCTGGTATAACAGTTAGTAATATATATTTATTTTTGTGATAAAACAAAAAATGTGGCACAAAGCAAGGGGCAGCTGATCTTCAGTGTCCTATCTTTTAACCTAGTTAGTCACAGTCAATGACCCTTTCACACTCATATTGTTCCTTTCATCAAAATTGCTCATTTGTCCTTATCAGTCCTATTACAGATGCCAAAATACTGCAATTTGTCTATGAAGTCCTAACTAGTTACAATGTGCACTTTTTATAGTAGTGGGGGAGATAATAGCAGAAATAACAGTTAACTAGCAGGAAAAAACGTGCCTAGTTTTATCGGCAAGATAATTAACTCACACACATACAGTATACTTTTTCTGAATCTGTTTTATTTACTAGCATAATACTCATGAAAAATGACTATTTCAAAGGAGGGCTAAATTTCTTTGACTAAGAAGGGATTCAAAAATAATTTTTGTTTGCTCAAATTTTAAGATGGGTAGCACCAAGAAATTTTCAGTATTCTCTTGTATTTGCGTATGAATTGGAACTTCTACCTAGGATCAAGTGAAATCAAAGTATAGTATCTGTAACATAAAGTCAGCATTTTCTGCTGCTGCAATTTTTGTCCTTGGTCTGTATGTACGTGAATGCCCACCCCCTATGTAAAACTACCTCTGATAGCGTAGTTACAGGGTAGGCAGTCTTAGTGTAGTTAGAACCTGTGCACTATGTGAAAAATGTTATATGAACCCATTGAATTTTATATATGTGAATTTTTAAATATGACAGATTTTTTTTTCCTCCTTCCTTATCCAGTCGTATTTGGGATACAGCCTCTGGACAGTGTCTAAAGACATTGATAGGTAAATATTCTGCCGTTTCATTTCCATGTTTTATTTTTATCTCACTTTATACTGTATGGATGCTTGACTGAATTCACATTTAATTCAACTGTAAGCAACAATCAAAAAATATACAGGGTATAACATATTCAATACAAAGCTTTTCCCACGAGTAAAGACAAAAGTTTAATTTTCTTCAGGCATCTTTCAAAATGTTTCTATTTTGTAGTGCATTTTTCTTAGACAATAAAATATTGAGAAAAAATTTTTATCAATTTTTAAAAAGGCATTTCTACAACATGAAGCCACAGAAAAACCTTTTTAATACTGTGTAATGACTTTCAAAAATTAGAACAATCCCTAAAATCCATAATTATTAATGTTTAGATAATGTTTTTGAAAATTTACCATTTCAAAGTTTTAAATAACATGCTATATGGAATTTTCTGTAAATTTATGCAGCAAATTGTTTACAAAAAATTAGTCACTACCGTTGTTATACCATTTTTCAATTTTAGTCTTGGCAAATTCATACTACAGAATTTATCATTTGTTCTTTATCTTTTGTAGTTAATGAAAAATATACTAATTAGCCAAAAAATGATTGGTACTTGGATGTTCATTTCATCAAAAATTGATTTATATATTCTTAGGTGCAGTTGTTAGTTGTTCATTTGGACATTACTAAATCAAATGTCTATTAATTACATCTCTTGTTAAGAACCCGCCTCCACCACTGGGCAAAATCAAAAGTGGAGGTCTTATATTGTGTGTCTTTCACTGGCAGGATGTTTTTCATATGCCAAGAAGAAAATATTACCTCCCAATTCAACATTTTTTCAATGGGTGGGTGTGGTGAGGATGCTGAAATGCATATTTAGGTTGTATGTAAGCAAAAAAATTACCTTGTTTCTACTGGAACATTTCCTTAACTGTCTGCATGCAATTTATTGACAAAGAATCTAAGATATGTATGTTACATCACTATTTTTGTTACAGGATAGTAGTAGCATTAGACTTGTTACAGCTAAAGTATTTTAATCTAATATCACAGCAAATACATATTTTCTGATAAACAACTTGATAATTTCAAAGTTATAAAGGCCCCTGCTAAAAAGAATTCTTCTTTAGAGTACATATAAGCTAACTTGACTATGCTGCATACATGTGCTTACTCAGCAGTACCTGCTGTTATGAAATGGCTTCAGTTCCTTTTATAATTTTGAGAAGTCATTAAAATCTCAAAAGTTGCTACTACAATTTTTCAGATGATTCATTCTACAAACTTCTTTAGGTGTACAATCCCTAAAGAAAGGGCAACATTTGGTAAAAGTGATTAGCAGTAATCCCAGAAACTGAAGGAAGCATTAAACTAGACAAGTAGAACCCTCCAAAGTAACAATGGAGGATGGGTTTGGGAGTAGCATATTTAGCAAATTGTCTTAATATGGTTTAAGAAATATATATATACGCATACACATTAGGTTGGAAAACTTTAGGCTCTATCTAACTTTCTTTCAATCCTGGTTTTGATTATTGTGGTAGATCCAAAGGAGAAAAAAATAGTTCCTAGGTGAGTGTTATCAGGATTCAAGATTCTTTGGTTCAGTGATCACTTCATTTTTTTTTTCATGGCCGTGAAAGACACAATGTCATTTGTATTATTGTGGAGGGAATCACTTCATATTTGCTTTGGAAGAGGTCTGCATTGTCAATAGGGAAGCTCTACTCAGTGTGATCTTGGGTGAGATGTGTGGATTACTTGAAAAATAATTCATAACAAGCTGTCTTCCTTGAAAGAAGTGATCTTTATTTACTTAAAAGGAAGATTATTTTTATCTCAAAAAAACAAAGATGCACAAAATGCTATGATAAAGCAATAAACTTGGATGATCATGATGAACTTGTCAATATTTTGAAATTTTCAATGTAAATATACATTTTTCTGCTTCCTAACATCACTTGATTGGCCCTTTCATCTTTTTTGGCATGTTTCATTAGTTTTCACAGTCTCTCTTCTGAAACAGAAAATCTGGTGTAAGAAAAGTTAGGAAGAAAACTGACATTTTCATTATATTTTACATAAATTCAAATACCTTCCTTTTCAATCATAAAGGATTTTACTTCAAAAATACAAAATTTCTCAAGATATTGACAATGTGTCAGAACAAAAACACCCCATTTTGAAAAAAGAAAAAAACATGATTGTCCAAGTTTATTAGCACTTGAAAAATTAATGTTTCTTAAAAGCCCTTAACAATCATTACAGCATGGATTTTACTTGATGTATGATTGAATGTTTGCATAGCCTCCAAATCCTGCTCACTATGTAATGCTCACTTTTCTCTCACTTAGCATTTGGCCTAGGGTGTGCTGTCTCTTGACAGTCTAAACTTCAAAGTGAACATAGTAGAGCTGCTTGATTGCAATCCTTATTTTAATGGCTTGGAAGAAATGGTGAAAGATGCTTTCCCTCACAAGGTTCACCCACTAATGGGTTATGTTGACAGTTCACAATAAATTCACTCAGTTCATATCCATTGATATCATACATCACAATGCATTGTGGTGAAACATGGTGTTTCTCATGCTGTTAACTGTAGTTAGAATGATGACATGGAACATGCAACTGTATAGTTTCTATAAGAATTGGTATTTTATCTCTTGATGATCATCAAGCATTTAAAGCAAAGATTAGATGTGATAAAAAAAAAAGATTTGGATATCATGGCAGAATGGACACATGAAGAGAACCTCATTTCCATGAAAGATGCCAAAATCAGTTGATTCTCTTATGAAAGAAAAGAAAAAAAATTAAGAAAAATGAATAGTTGTCCCAAAAGAATTGTTTTAAAAAATTTCTTAACACCTCTGTATCATCTCTTTATGCCTTAATTATGAGAAACTCAACTCTTATGTTTGACAAAAAAATCTTGTAATTTATGTGTTGTGTAATTATTCATGAAAATGCTTGAACTGTTGTTTTACGATTCTATGCATAATATAGACACATTGTTTAAATTGTAGATTTTTTCTTCCAAAGACTAAATTACACTCAATAACCTTCAAAAATGAGTATATTGTAATGTACAAATTGTCTTTCCTGGGCTTATGGTTCAAACTCTACTGGTCATTTTTCTTTTGTAATTCAAGTGTTTTGCAAAGCAATATTTGGAAGTAACTCCACTATGTAAAAAGAAAAACTATACAAACACATTTTGACAGTTTTTTTTGGGTGGGGGTGCAATTCTGCTTGCTAATAATGAAAGAAAGATAGATTGTAGGTGAAGAGAATGCCCAAATTAAAAGAAAGTTAGTTGGTTTATTAAATCATGATGGTATTATTTAATTATGAGTTTAAATTTGAGTTTTATATACTGCATATATGCATACTTTTAAAAGAAATTAAAACTTAATTTAAACCTGTATTACAAAACTTGAATTAATCCAGACATTTTCATGAAATGTCAGATTTATCAATTTGATATTTATAAATTTATTTTTCAGCTAACAATTATATCTGAATTTAAATCATTTTTGTTGTTTTTTCAACACTAATATTTTAATTTTCAGATGACGATAATCCACCTGTATCATTTGTGAAGTTCTCTCCAAATGGGAAATACATTCTTGCAGCTACACTTGATAAGTGAGTGTATAATTGTAAAAAAAAATTTTCACTCCTCCCAGTTCAGGTCATCAAACCTATATAATTTTCCAGTTTCTCATGGAGGTTGTATAAAACTTCCACCATAGGTATCTTGTTAAACATGATACTTATGAAGAAAGACTTATACAGGGTGCAGCATAAATGCTGTTACAAAACTTCAAATAAATTCTACTTCTCAACTTTTGGTCATTAAATTGTTGTTTTGGTACTCACTCAACAACATATACTATTTGTTTTAGTATTTACTGGCAACAATGTCAATAGAAATTAAAAGAATGTATATAATTGTGCAACATGAAAATGGACCGACTCCATCTGAAATGTTTAAAGCTGAAAAACAACTTGGAATCAATAGTGTTTATCAAAACGATAACTGATCAATACAATGAGACTTCCTCCATCAGACAGACAGAGACCAGGATGTCCTCACACCAAACCACAATAAACGTGCATGAAAAAATCAGGTGTAATCCAAGAAAATTGGCTAAGGAGGTCAGAACATTGAAGAGAACTATGTGGAGGCTATTTCTAAATGATCTAAGGATGTCACCTTACAAGATAACCAAGAGACAGTTTCTTTCAACAGCCACAATGAAAAAGAGGCTTCAAAGAAGTAAGTAGATGCTGACACTGATTCATGATGACATACTGCAAAACATCTTCACTGATGAGAAACTGTTCACTGTTGAACAGACTTAATCATTGAAATGATTGTATTCTTTTAAGTCATCAGTCAGTTCCTGCTGCTTCAGGAAAATGCCTCAGAACCCAGAAACTGGCATCAGTTATGGTTTGTGCAGCCATTTCAGAAAGGAAAGTTTCCTTTTGTTTTCATGCCTCAAGGGATAAAGATCAATAAGGAAGTGTACATAGAAGACATCTTGGAAAGTGCACTCAAGCCATGATGGACTGACAGTTACGGTGATGAATATCTGACGCTTTAGCAAGACAGTGACAAGCCATACTATCTGTGTTACACAGCAGTGGTGCAGAAACTATTGTTCCAGCTTCATCACCAAGGACGAATGGCCTCGCTCATCACCATATATCAACACTCTTGACTATTGTTTGTGTGCAGTTCTTGAGAGTGAGGCCTGTTCTACACTGCACTACAATATTGAAACTCTGAAGGCAAAATTGAAGAGACTATAAGACAAAATACCCATGGAAACTGCACACTGCCATCAATGACTTTCACAATGGTGAAAGCTAAAGGGAATCAATGAGATTTTCTGGTGTTACTTTGTGTTAAAATTGTATGCTGATATTATAAATTTTTCAGTAGTAATGAGCTTTTTCTTTTCTAACCATATATATGCTGCACTAATATATATATATATATATATATATATATATATATATATATATACTATCCATCAATGATGGTGCAAAAATGTCTTCCTAATTAGTTCCATGAAGTGGGTTGTGTTTCTCACAGAGGATGTTATTTCACCAAAGATTATATTAAAATATCAATTAAGAAGCAGCTTAAAGGATTTCTGTTGAGAATCTCATGGAGATGTCAAAATTTTATGCTAGCACATATTTTCATTTGGACCTAATATTTAGAAGAAGTATGCTTAATTATTGGGTCCCCACTGATCTCTCCTATGGATATTCTTGGAGATCTTACATAGACTGTTGAAGCTATTGGTCTGGCCAAAGTCCATGGATGATACTGTACTATATTTGGTCTTCTATACAGTTCATAATGGAGATGGAATACAATAACATACTTCCTTTTTTTGGATGTCCTAGTTAAGTCACACAGAAGATGAATATAGCAGCAGCATGTATAAAAAGAAAATTTATGCATATGGACATAGATCTGAATTTTGAGTCCAACATCACCTTTGTAAAGATTTTTTTTTTTTTTTAACCTTGAGCAGAGAGTATAAGTCATTATATGTGAACCAATGAATCTGGAAAAATCATTAAAGAACAATAGTACATAATAGTTATCCATCCTGAATTTAGGACAAGGAATAGAACATCCTATACAACAGACTATATAGTTACATCAAATATTACTTATGTAAGAAGGGTTGTAGAACACATCCAAAGATTTACTCTTCAAAATCTTCTTACTGGAATTGGTCCTTTACAAGAATAAAAAACATCCATTAACAATCTGCATTTATAACATGCCTTGCATATGTGGTAAAGTTCAAAAGAAGGAAATCAGGTATCCTTTAGTTAGACTTGAGGGACACAAGAAAACTATGGAAGCTGGAAAAATCTGGTCAAATGCACTGTATCTGGAGGGTAGAAACCAGATAACTGATGGAGCATCATTAGGCAGTGAGGAAGATGAAGTAGGCAGCATATATCATGTTATGATTTACATGATAATCTCTCTCTTTTTCTGAAAGAAGAAATTTGAGTGCTCAGTTAATTTTCAATATGGAAAACCCCTGCATTTCTTATAACTTGAAGAGGTAATTAATCATTTTAATTGATACACAATTCTTAACTGCTACTATAGTTTGTTTATTTTATGTGTGGCCAAAATTCTTACATAAAATATCAATTAAAAACAACAAAACATAACTTGTAGAATGTAAAAATATTTTGATTAGTGAATATTTGCTTAAAATAGACATAATTTTCAATAAACTACTTCAAAGTGTATTTTACTCTTTTGCTGTTTTTTTTATTTCAGTACTCTTAAACTGTGGGACTACAGTAAAGGCAAAGTAAGTAAACAAGATTTGATTTACTTTAAGATTATATATAAAGTACCTGATAGCAGTATGTAGTAAATTTTCACCTAACTTCATATACAGCTTGTACCTCTCTAATCTAGCACTCTGTGATCAAGTAACTCCAAAAGTCTTGCACATTTTAAATCTGCCATTAAATTACCATGCAAGTTCTTTGGTTTGAACCACAATTTAGCAGCTTATAAACTGGTTTGTTAAACCAAATTTGTAAAATCATAGCTGCAATTTGAAACCCGCTCAAAGAACTCTAACTTTGACAACTTTTAATATGGTGTAATAAGTAGCAAGCTAGTCTGGTTGAACATTATAATTTCATCCTAACTAGGTGTTTCCATACTTGTAGCTTTATGCCAAACTCAGATAAACTAATGGCAACTTTTGATTTTTTTTTTTTTTTTTTTTTTTTTTAATATAAAATTAGACTTGTATATTTTTTCCAAGTCTTTATAAAATTTTAATTCAGTTAAAAAGCATAAGCAAACAAAAGTACTTTTCATTTACTATCATGATTTATATAACTTATATTAAAAATACATTGTTCTATTTTTCTACTTTGGGGTTAATTTCTGTTTTTTGGTGTAGCATCAATTCCACAAGTGGTCAGAAGACTTCTGAAGAAATGTTGAGTCATAACAACTTGATAACTTCATGATATTTGTAGGTGCAATATTTTGTGTAAAAGAAAATATAACTTAAGATGATTAAGTAAGACACTCATTTTCAGATATTTATTTATTTTTTGTAAAATTGAAATGATAACATTTCTTTAAAAACAATCAACAAATTAATTTTTGTATAACACCTTTATTTCAGTGTTTGAAAACATACACAGGACACAAAAATGAAAAATACTGCATTTTTGCCAACTTTTCAGTAACTGGTGGTAAGGTAGGTAAAATTAGTTTATCTGACTTTTTATTTACAAGATCTATAAACTGATGATTTTTTATTTATATATATATATATATATATATATATATATATATATGCTGGAGGGTGCATCTTTTCTTTAATAAGATTTCTCAAATATTCAGGTCAGTAGATGAAAATAAATAAATAAATATACTGTTTAATAAATAAGCAAAGCATCTACCCAAATATGGGTATCCACTAAAAATAACATTTTAGGGATAAAATCTGTAAAATTAATAAATTAAAAAAATCCAATACTTCTTGTGACAGATAAATAAACAGTCTTTGTGCAGTGAAACTTTTGTTATAAAATGAAAATGGATTTGGAGTAATAAATGTTCTTGGAAATCTTTATACAAAATGGTTAAAAATTTGCTTCTTTTTTTTCTTTTTTTTTTTTTTTTTTAAGTAATGAGCTCAGTTTTGTTGTGATAATCACAACTTTTCAGATATTGATAGAAGTAATCTTCAAGGAATTTCAAACTGACCTCTACACAGGTGGATTGTTTATGCCTAGATAGGGACAGCAGAATGAAAACAATCTATCCTTATAGATTGAGTAATTAGTTCAGTTTTAAAACCCCTTGAAGCTGCAGGACATAATAACCATAATGTCTTGAGTGTAACAACAAAGATGAGGACATTATTGTATCTGTAAATAATAATTCCACATCCAATAAATTCAGGCAGAAAATTTGTATATATATATATATATATATATATATATATATATAGGATAATTTGTAAATACTTTGAAATAATATTAATTAAAAAAAAAATTAAGAAATTAGCAACAATATAAGCCACTGGAAATACATTAATATTTACAATGATTTAATATAATTCTTGTAGAGCTGTCCTTTCTAACGGTATTGAAAAATATAACTTCTTAAATTAATAAAAATAGACAAAGTCAGAAGAGGATAACTGTAATATTGTTGTAATAGATAATCATCCTTTGTTGGCAAAACTGTCACCTCTACCTTTCTTCTTTAACAATTTACTGCAATATGTCTGTTGCTTTCTTTAAATCAAAATAATCAAAGCTTGATATTTTGCTGTTTATAGACTTTTGATACATGCAAAGTCTTCATAATCTTAGCTTTGCATCAATCTTCAAAATGGTGCAAATCTATCTTGAAAATCAACATTTTAAATGTATGTTTTACTTGAAAAGGAAGGCACAGTGGAGTAATGGATAGTGGCTCAGATTGAGGAAGTGGAGTGCTGAGTTTGAATTCCATTAGAATCCATTACATTCACTTATGTGCTAATATCCTTGGGAAAGGTGTGAATCCTCTTCTCCCTCCAGCTATGGGTAAATAGCAGGGCAGACCAGGTTCTATAGCTTTGGACTAGTCTACTGCAGAAAGAAATGGCAACCTACTGCAGGAAAAAGATCTGCCTAGTCAGTCATGTATCAAAAGATACATGATCGCCTAAGCATGTATCACACATGGCACATAACTGACTTGAGTTACTTGAAATCAAATGCCAAACTATTGTGCCTCCCAAACAAGATACACAATGTTTTTTTATTTTGTTCTGTTTTTATTTTTATGAAAACTTTTGCAATCTTTTTTTTCTAGTGGATTGTGTCAGGTTCTGAAGATAATATGGTTTATATTTGGAACCTTCAGACAAAAGAAATTGTGCAGAAATTACAAGGACATACAGGTATTGTTACTTATAAATTTTTGATTATTAAGATTACAATAAAGAACATGTTGAAATCGACACACATATAGTAAAAAAAAAAAGTTCAAGATCATTTACTCACTTTTGTGTATTAGACATTGAATTGTATCACTTAGCATCTTCCTTAATTTACCAAGACTTTTCAGTTAGATGAATATTTATAATTAAAAAATTTTGAAAAACTAACTTTTGTTTATAAATACTTGTTGCAAAATAAAATCCTTACATTTGCCTTGACAAAGTCCATCGGAAGACAAAATGCATCAGCTAAGTTTTCTTTGTCTTTATTTTCATACACACACACACACACACACACACACACGTGTGTCTGTGTATTTGGGCAGCACTCTATCTTGCAAGCATATTTCATTAAAAATAGCTGACGAGGAAGATTTAATTAATCTTTTATTGAGTTTTTCTAGCATTTTAACAGTTTTTTAGGGGTTAAAAAATATAGGAATTGTCCAGTTATAAATGTTCCAAGCATTTTCAGCTAGTTATATAGCCATTATCAAGGATGTTGATTTGGAAATTTCTGTGTGTGGTTTCTACATAGTAGCTTTTCTGTGTGAAGTATGTGCCGCAGGTGTTGTATGCTTTTTGGTGGTCACATGCTATGCTGGTCAACCGGCCATGCATCATACATGACCACCAAAAAGCATATAACACCTGCTGCACATACTCCACACAGCAAAACTACTATGGAAAAACTGAATAAAAGATTAATTAAATTTTCCTTGTTGGCAAACACACGCACGCACACACAGAGGGTGCAATGGATAAATTGTCATCTAAATTACACAAAAATGAAAATAACACTGATATCTCATTTTAACAGATATATTTAAGAAAATTACACAAAAATATCTTGAAATACTAAAGAGTAAATTTATTCAGTGAAATCACCATTGGCTTCAACCATGGTCTCCAGATGACTTTGTAATCTCCTGCATCTCTTCTGGACAGTCTCTTTATTTAAGTTGATTAATGCTGCCATGATTCTTGCCTTCAGTTCATCTTTGGTGTTACAAGGAGTTTTGTTGGTCTCTTGTTCAACGTCACCTGACACATAATAATCACGGGGATGGACTCTGGGGAGTTAGGTCACTGGATGTAAGGAGTGATATGGTCGCAGAAATTGTCTTACAACCATGACTGGATTCTCCTGTTTGTGCGGCATGGTGTAGAGTCCTGTTGAAAGACATAGGGTCTTCCAGCAGCCACTCTCTTGACCCGGGAAAGCACTACCTTCTCAAGGCACTTGATGTAGGCCTCTGTGTTGAGTCCAAATCCCTCACCAACAAATTCAGGAGTTCTTTTCTTATCAGAGGGAGTTTTCCAAGCTAACGTACCTTTGTAATGACCAATGATCATTACAAAGGTACGTTAGACTCATTCAACTCTTTCCAAATCCTCTGCACTGTCCTCAGATTGACACCCAAACACTCTGAAATATTTGTATTGGATCTTCCGCCACAAATGCTGAGTAGTACAGCATGCTGTTTCCAAATTTCTGATGGCATGAATTACATCATGGTCTCTTTTTCTCACAGACTGTACTCAACTAACCCTACTATATTGTGCAGTTGACAAAATCAAAAACGAACATGTATTCGCAAATTTAAAAATGTAAAATGGCACCACTTTACCCATTGCACCCTATATGTATATCTGTGTGTGTGTGTGTATGTATATATATATATATATATATATATATATACACATACACACACACTTTTTAATTCATATATGGAATGTATGGTGATTTAAGTCAGGTGTCCGACACAAAAGAGCCATTATGCTTTACATGCTGAGTGATAGGTGCAGTGGCTCAGAAGCAGGGGATTGCAAACCTTTTGGTTGTGACCTGCAATCTCCCTTAAGAACTAATTCCCAACCAGTCATCAACAGACCTTTGAAAGCTGAATTAAATCAGTTGATAATTTTGAATAACAGAAATTGTAACGGAGGAGTGGGAGTGTTCAAGGCAATCAAGATGTCACTCTTGTTAAGTACAAATTTAAGAAATCAAAATTTATGCATAATTTCACAAATGCAGGACAATCGGTAACCTTATTTACCTCTATCATAAGATATAAATATTCTCACATTTCTTGAAAAGATCAGTTCCTCTTGACGATTTTCCTTTTCTTTGACATTGTCATGATTTTTCTTTTTTACTTCAGTTATGTAGTTGATTGATCAAGTCTTTCTTCCTTGAAATTTTCAGTTTTCTGTTCATATTTGTCTTTTACCGTATGTACTCCCTCCACCCCAATATGCAATCAGATCTATTCCTCCACTTATGAAAAAAAAAAAAAAAATACTCTGTTGTGTGTTCACATCCCCAGACCAATATAAGTAGCCAAATGTATTCCTTTTCACCTTATATTGAAAAAAAAAATATAATTTTATATATATAAAAAAAATCTGATACTATTTCTTCTTTCCCTTAAATGAGTTGTCAAATTCATTTCTTTGTATAAAATTAGGGAAGGTGGAGAGATAGACTTTGTCACAAAGTAAATTCATACTTTGTCATGAAGAATATGTGAAGTTGGAGAGGTTTAGTTTTATTTTCTTCCCTAGAGAGGAACTAGAACAGACCCTGACAGCCTTAAAATTGACTATCTGTTTGTACTTTGCAAGTAGGTCAAGTTTTACTGTAAAAAAATGGAAATATTTTAGAAAAATATTGGTCACCAAAATGTTTCCTCTTGTGTGACAGAAAGATACTTAATATGCTGTATATGACCTGTGTGCTTGAGACATCAGATTTAGGTGATTTATGTAAACAACCAGTATTTTCTAAACATTTTCTTTGTTGGGAAATAGGAAAGAAAGCATTATTTTTTATAGAGAACAAAAAAGAATCAAATTCATTCATTCTATTGACAAAATTAAAAGAAATGATATTGAGTTTCCTGTGGTTTTGTTTTTCATTGCTCAAAGAAAGTGATGTTTTATTTTAAAAGAGAAGTCTTTATTTCAATTATCCATTTATTATATTTTTCTTTGTTTATTATATTATAATTTCATATTATTATGTATTTACAATATTTAATTATTAAAATACATATTTACTTTTTTAAAGATAAGTTGATGTATGTATTTTGTATTATCACTAGGAATTGTTATTTACATTATTTGGACTGTTATCCTTATCTTCATTACCATATTCACAATGTTTTGGCTGTTGTACACAATGGCCTTCTTCAGGTGATTGGAATTTTGAACCGAACCCTTTATTTCATTCACTGGGGTAGATTGTTCTAGTTCCAAGGAGACATGGCCCAGTGGATAAAGACATTGATTAAATTCAGTGACTACATCCAAAGAAATGTGAGTTCAGTACCAGGCTACAGCAGTGCTGAACCAAAAAACTTGAAGAGTTGAATTAAAGGGAAATAACTAAGACATCCAGAAGAGGCATGGCACATGGAACTAGGACAATCTACTCCAGTGGACGAAATAAAGGGTTCAGTTCAAAATTAATCACCTGAAGAATGCATTGTATTTGTTAAATTACTTATACACAAACATGAATAATTCTATATTTATATTTAAGCATTTTTATTTTTTTATTTATGAAAGAGGTTGCAATTGTAGGAAATGCATTTCAAGCCATAATGTTTTTTTTATCATTATTATTACTATTGGTTCAGTATCATCGATTTCTTTCCCTATCATTTATCATTCAAACATTTTTAATGACATTTGCCAATAACTTGATTCTTTTATCCTTTTCTTAGTTATTTATTGATTGTAGTAACGTAACATTTTTTTTATGGACAAGGATGTATTTTTGAATTTGTAGGAAAAACGTTTGAGTTGTAACTTTTATTTTTACTATTAATTCAGTAGTGAATTTCTTCCTTTATTATTTGTCTCCAAAATATTTATTCTTAGCAACAACAATAATAAAAAATGTTCTTATATATTTAATGATAATTTCATACGTTTATTCTTTTCTTATTTATTGATTAGTTTCTATTATTGCCATTAAAGTAATAATAAGGCAAAGTGGTGCATTTGATAATAAACTGTTCACTCCAACATCCAGTGTAAAATATATATGTTCATTCCTTGTCATGGTAGAGGGCTTGTGTATCCCAGTGATCCCAAGTGCAAAGCCATCTGGAGTTCCAACTCCTGTCGGGGCCACCCATGACAGTAAGGTCAAGGAAGAGGAAGCAGACTGAATGCAACCAACACCCAAAGGCCCCAATGTCATAATAGGCAAATATCTGCACAATCTCAACGGCCAAACATGGTGTTCCAGCAGGACTGCTCCCTCCCATAACCCAGGAGTTTTTGCTTGAAAATTTTTCACTACCATATGGACAACAAGCTCTCCTGATTTGGAGAAAGCCAAAGTCTGTTATTATGGATGCAATGACAAATCAAATGAACAAAAAAACACCCAATCCAGGTATGCAGTCATTTCTAAGGCTGCATCAAGGCTGTGGGTAAATTTTTTTTTTTTTTGGCTTATCTTTTTCTTAGGTATTAATCCATAGTGTTAAATACCAAGAGGTTATCAAATGGATTACCAGTATCAACAAGCCAGATGGCACCCTAATACAGTTTGATATTAAGGATTATTACCAGCCAATATCAAATCTATTCACGACTGCCCTAGAGTTTGCTTCTATATATATTCAGACCTAACAGAAGAAGAAAAGAACATATTTCTAAATGCAAAAAGATCTGTCCTCATTCATAATGGTGATCAATGGATTAAAAACTCTGAAGACCATTTTGACATCACAATGGGGTTATTAGACTCTGCAGAATCTTCGGACTTTTATATCATAAAACCAAACTGCGCACTGTGAATTAGACATTAAAGAAATTCAGGCTATACAGAGATGATAGCTTCATGGTAGTGAGGAGTCCCACAAATTTTAAAAACAGATAAAATTAGAAAGATAATATATAGTGAATTTAAAAACTATGGTCAACACAAAATTGAAATTTAAAGACAATGAATTTTAACTTATTACCTTACAGAAAACCTAGTACTAATCCCTTGTATGTACATCCCAGGTCAAACCATTCTCAATCCATAATTAAGCACATACCCTCATCAATAGAGAAAAGAATCAGCATGAACTCCGCAAATGAAGAAATATTCTATAAACAGTAATTTTTACAACAAAGCTCTAAAAAATAGTGGCTACAAACACCTTAACATCAATTATATAAAAGACAATAGTACAAACCAGAGGAAAAACAGAAATCATTTGGTACCAACCCCAACCCACCAAATGGTTAGAAATAAACTTGGACAAAAATTCCTAGCTTTAATCGAAAAACATTTTCCTACTAACAGAAAACTTAGCAAGATCTTTAATAAAAACACCCTAAAATTAAGTTATAGCTGTACTGAAAATCTAGAAAGAATTATAAAAAAGCATAATAATAAAATCTTGAAAAAACATGCATGCAAAATCAAATAAATTTTTCATTATTTTTGTCTAATTTTAATTTAAAATTAGACAAAAATAATGAAAAATTATGTGATTGTAGAAATCCTGAAAATTGCCCTCTGAATAATAGATACCACATAGAATCTGTGGTATACCAATGCACAATCTCATCCATTGAGAATCCAAATATTGAAAAGATATATATAGGATCCACAAAGAATTAATTTAAAATAAGGTGAAAACTACACAAAAGCTCCTTCAATTATATTAGAAACAGAAATCAGACATCCCTATCTAAATATTTTTGGCATTTAAAAGAAACAAATAAAACACCAAAAGTAAAATGGAAAATAATAAATAGAACAAGAACTTGTAAAACCTGGGATGACCCATGCCCTTTATGCCTACATGAAAAACTACACAATGTTAAGTTTCTAAAAAATGAAAATTTATTAAATCAAAGAAATGAGATAATGTTTTTTGCAGACATCACCAAATATTCGCCTTAAATAATTAGCATTTTATAAATGGTGGGAATAAAAAAACTAATAATAATAATTTCCAAATCTATTAACAAGTACAATTAAAACAATAGGTTTAAAAACAGAACCCAATCATAATCTTAAAGCCCCTTTAAGAAATCAACAAAAAAACAAAAAAGTAAACACCAAAATCAATCAGTTTTAGCATACAGTAATAATTAAAAATAAAAACAAAAAAAAACCAACAAAACTACAACATCAATCAGACTATTAGCAGGGAGTCGGATAAGATTAGCCATTGTAGGCAGACAAAAAAACCCACAAAGAAGTCCGCAAGGGCTTTGCACAAGTCTGCTTCATTGGTGAAGGATTTCCCACAAAGATGATTATCCAGGGAGTGGAAGAGGTGGTAATCGGATGGCACAAGGTCAGGTGAATGAGGTGGATGGCACAAAGTCTCCCACCCAAGTTGCTGTATGGTATCCCTGACCACTCGCACGACATGTGGCCTGGTGTTGTCATGGAGGAAAAGCACACCTTTGCGATTCACCAGTGCTGGCTCCTTCTGGCGCAATGCCTGTTGCACACGTTTCAATTGCTGCGAGTATAGGTCTCCAGTGACCGTTTGGCCCGTTGGTAGCAGTTCATAATGAACCACTTGACGAACTGTCCACCAGACACAAAGCATAATCTCGCGTGGGTGCATAGGCGGTCTTGCAGTGTGAGGGACAGCATCCTGAGGAGACAACCAATGTCTGGAACGCTTGGGAGTTTCGTACAGAACCCACTTTTCATCACTGGTAAGCACTCGATTGAATAAGGATGCAGTACGGTGGTGAGAAAGCAGCGATACACAGGCTGCCACTCGTTGTCCCTTGTGGACCACCAACAGCGTTTGTGTAACCCACTTGCTCAGTTTGTACGTCTTACCTAGGCGGTGCAGATGAAGTCATCGGAAATGTTGAACTGTCTTGCAAGTTCACCACACGTTAGACTACTGTCCTCTTCAGGACTCTGTCATTCAAGACCTGTGGTCATCCACTGCGAGGCTCATCATGGAGAGACAAATCTCCCGACTTGAATTTTCAAAACCAACGCCTTGCAGTACGTTCATCCACAGCACTATCCCCAAACGCTTGACATATGCAGCGACTTGATGCAGCTGCTGATAAACTTACTTTGAAGTCGTAAAGCAAACAGCCCCAAACGAGATCTCTAGTCACTTCCATCCTTCTCACAGCTGTCCAGCTTATAACTGATGGCCGGGCATGGTGCAAATGTTTTTTATAATGTCTGATGTTCCTACTTCCGGCTGTCCGAATTTGAAACAATTGCTACACACATTTCGTATATATTTCAACTTCATTCAATGACTAATCAAAAAACGGACAGAACATTTTGGGTTACCTTGTGTGTGTGTGTGTGTGTGTGTGTATATATATATATATATATATATATATATATATATATATATATATACACACACACACACACACAGAGGATGCAACAAAAATAGCTCCCACAATGGTAAGACATTACCTAAATTGGCACTATTGCCACTAGTCTTACTGCTATGGAGGAGGTATTTCTGCCACACACTAACACACATATATATATATATATATATATATATATATATATATATATATATATATATATATATATGAATCATTGCCTGATCCAGTATCCATTCACCATTCAGCAATGAAGAGCTTCACAATGTGTTTCAAGAAAAATTTGGATGAGTAAGTGTGCTTTAAAGGCAAAATAGAACCTTGCTTTTTTTGTGAAGTTCACATTTGCCTGAGTGATTTCATTGTTGAAACCATTTTTAGTCTGAAAAATTCCTTTCAAAGAATTTAAAATGCATTAGGTCCCCCCACACCATTTTACCATTTCAATTAATTACTGTTAATTTGTCATATCTTACATAATCTATTGTATATGTATTGAAAATCTTTTGCTAGATACTTTCATGTTTTTCCTTATGTGAATGGGTACCTTAATTCCATGTAATAATTTGATGTATAAATTACTTATTTTACTCTTCCACTTTTCAGATGTTGTGCTCTGCTGTGCCTGTCATCCAACAGAAAATATAATTGCATCTGCAGCTCTTGAGAACGATAAAACCATCAAGCTTTGGCGCAGTGATGTTTAACTGCTTTTTCCTCCTCACTTTGCAGCACTCTTCCTCTCTAAGGATTGGACAACAAGGGGCCAGCCCGTTGATCATTCAGGGAGGGCTTGGTGTGCAATTGTAATTGATGTACATATTTGAAAGCTAATTGGGGAGGGGGGTAGCAGAGTCAAACCCAAAACCAGAATCTGTTTGGCAGACTCTGTTGATTGGTTAAATACAATCCAATTTGATGGACAATATCAGTCAGTTTTGGTAAATGTTCATTTCCATTGAATAGTCATTTCATCTAACTCTCCATCTTTGTTCAAACAGTTATTGAATTTTAAAAATTTTTTTCTACTTCCCATATGTATTATTTTATACATTTAACATCAAGAAAAATGTTTAAATGCAACCATATTGTGAAATGAAATATATTTTCCATAATAAGCAGACAAATCCAAATTTGCAAAACCATTGGATTTAGTTTGATAGTGGTCATGACAAGATACACTTGATCTAGGGAATCAGTAGAGATGCAAACAGTTGAAACTTTTTCTTTAAAATTGATTTTTTTTTTTTTTTTTTCCTCATTTTTGCCTAGCAAAAGCTTACAGATCAAACTTTTCACAAGGAGATAAATTTGAAAATTGGCACTCACCAACCTTATAAAAAAAAATCATTTACTTCATTTCAAATCAAGAAAAAAAACCCAGAAAAATGCAACAATGTTCTAATGAGTCTTGTAAAAATACAAAATAATTAAGATTGAAACATTTGTGAAAAACTCATTGTTTCTTTTGAAATAAATCTTCTTTGGTTGCTTACATATCTGAGGCAAATTCTTTACTTTGGTATGAAGGGAGTAGAAAAATTCTCATTTGAAAAGATCTGTCCTCTACTCAGGCATTTGGCGGTTCTTAATTTCTCTTCAGTGTCAAATAAATAAATATCAAAACGCAAATCCTGGATCTGGCATATGAAATTAAAATTTAATTTTAAAAAAATAAAATAATTACTAAGCCACTTTTCTTTTTAAGTGAAGTTACAAACTCTTTTTTTTTTTTTTTTTTTTTTTTTTAAGAGAATACTATACAAAAAATAAATCTTTTTATAATAAAGAAGAAAAAGTATATTTTAAAAAAATTTACAAATTTCTTAAATGAAGAATTTTCACTATGGATTTTTGACAAGTTTTTCATCATATTGTATTTCTCAGATTATTCTGTGTCTTTTTATGTAAGCCACATGGATTGAAAATAAACTTCTGCTGAGATTTGAATTTTCATCCCTTATCCTTGAAAATCTGCCTTTGACATAATGACACTAACTGGTTTAGGAATAACCTTTACCAGTAGGTATCACAAAAAATAATATAGATATGTGGCTTGAGTGACCTATTGGTAAAGTTTTGTGGCCAAACCAGTAACAGTACTGTCATGGAAAGATTTGTGCTCTGACGAGGGGGGGGTGCAGTCAAGTATTCTCTGGATGAATCATTTAACCATGACTGAAAACAAATTTTCATCATTTCAAGTGTAATGAATAATGAAACCATTTAACGTAAACAATTTATACCAGATCTGATTATTAAATTAATAATTTTTGTCTATTTCTCAAAATGAGGATAATACACTAATCACCATCTAATTTTCATCTTTGGCAATGTATTGAGTCATATTGTATATAGATACACCACCTTCTGTTTGACTTGAATTTAACTAAACTGTCTTCAAAATGTATGCATTTTGTCAAACTAAATGATGGAGGATGTCTAGAAGAGAGTAGCTGGACAAAGCAAGGTTTGAATTACCTATTAAAAAAAAAAACAAATTTTCTCCTTGGGACTTTTATTTCTCTATGTAATAAAAAAAAAATAAAACAGGGTTAGCAACTCAAATATTTGTACTCATTAAAAATGTTTAGAACAATAGGAAATAATGTCAGATAAAAAGAATTCTTTTAAAAAAAATTGCTGTTCATGTTTCAAGTACAAAACTGAATCTAGCAGAAATAGATTCGTAGAATTCCCGAGAAAACACTTTCTTCCAAAGGTATTTCAAAATTTGCTCTTTTAAGCTAGTCTCCATGGCTGAACTAGTAGAGGTATTTCCCTGAAGAGGGGAGTGCATGTTTGATTCCTGTCAGATGCATAATTTTTCTTTAGGAGGACTTCTTAATTTAGGCTGCTTCATATTAAATTCATTGTTTAATAAAATAAAAAATGGGGATAGTAACTCAAATGTGTACCCACTAAAAATAATGTTTATGTATGTTTTATATATATATATATATATATATATATAATATATTTAAAATTTTATTATTAAGCCAGAACCAAAGAAATAGTGATCCAGAAATAAGAATAAATAATAGTAAAGAAAAATTATGTAACTGCAGGAATCCTGCAAATTGTCCATTGAGTAATAAATGCCTCACAGAAGCTATTGTTTACCAATGCACTATCTATTGAGAATCGTATTTTGAAAAGTTTTATATTGGGAGCAATAAAAATGGATTTAAATTAAGATGGAGCCAGCACCTGTCTTCCTTCAATAATAAGTATTGCAACCAAACATCCCTATCCAAATATTTTTTGGCATTTAAAAGAAACGAATAAAACACCCACTGTAAAATGGAAACTGATTTAAAAAAAAACAAAAAAAAAACATGAGAACATGTAGATCTTTAAATGACCCATATCCTTTGTGCCTACATGAAAAGTTATATATTAAGTTTTTGAAAAAAAAAAAATAAAGATTTATTAAATCAAGGAAATGAAATAAGTTTCTTGTAGACATTGTATTATGTTTTCTTTAAAAAATAATTATTAAATAATTTGCATAATTATATATCTATTATTTGATCAAAAATAACAAAGTAAGAAAATGCGTAATTCTAATATTTTAATTTTAAAATATATATAGTTTAATAAATTTAGTATTTTAGATCTTTATAAATAAAAATATAAATATAAAAAATATGACTTAATCATATTTGAAAGCCCCTTTAAGAAAATCTCAATGTATTTTATAACATAACATAAAATAAATAAAAATGCCAATTTTATTGTATCTTTAAAAACCAGACAGTGATGACATGTTCTCATATAGAGAAACCAGTATCAACAGACAGAAATTACAAACCCATAACTGATATTTACTTTGTCACCTTAAATTATACTTGTATCCTGATTTGTCAAAAGAACCAACACCCCCTTAATAAAAAATTTTGTAATCTCATTCCCCCACCAACTTAAACTATATAATACTATTTAGTTTATAAAAAGAGTAAATAATTTTTGGGGAAAGTTATTCAACATCGCTTGAAAATGGAATATAAACTTTAAATTTTATGTTTAAGATTTAGTGTCATGATGTATACATATTTTTAAATAATTATATATAATGATCAAACAAATAATTTGATAGAATCAATCATTATATAATAATAATAATTTGATAGAATCAATCATTATATATATATATATGCTGGCTACAGGCATTCAACATTTAAATATTAAGCTTGGCCAATCTCATTCAGTTTTTTTTTCTTTTTTTTTTTTTCTTTTTTTTTTTAAATCATCCCACATTGTGTTAATTGTACTGTTGTGAGAAAATGTCAAGGATCATGCAACATCTCTCCTTTTTGCACAAAATGTGTCAATAGTTTTCATCTGGTCATTTTATTTTATTTGTGTGTGTATTTATTTACCAATGTACATGTAAGTGAAACAATGGACATTAAAATGAACACACTCTTACTTCCAAAAATAAACATAGCAATTCTCAAGAAATTGTTAATAGGCTGTACCACACAAGTTCCTTTTTATGATCATTTAGGAAATATATTCAAACTGATGGCATCACTAAGGGTTTTTACAAAAAAAAATTTTACACTTGCTACATTACCATGTTTATATTTGCTAAGTAAAAACAAAAAAAAAAAAACAAACCTGAGAGCGGTATTTGAAAATAAAATAACTGTTCTTAGCATAAATGACAAAATACCTTTTGAGATAGCTTTAATACCTCCACTTAGAAAAACTAATCAATTCAAAAAACATGACTATGCAACTAAAATAGTGAATACCCATGCAGATACATAATAATCTTCATAAATAACTTAGAGCACATTTAATATTTTCACAAACTCTACAAAACAAACATTAATAATGATTTCTCTAACCAAATATTAACAAATTAAAATCTTAACAAAACACTCAAAATCTCTAAAATTGATCACCAGTAAAATATATATCTCAAAACCATGTCAACAAATTTGCTTGCTCACTTGGAATATTTGCCAAAATTTAAAATATGTAACTGCAAAAAAAAAAAAAAAATTTGTCAAAAACATTTTTTTTTTTTTTTACCTGTCACCATTATTACTATATTCTCTCTTGACAATATTTATGGTTTTAAAGTTATTTTTAGAATTTTGATTAAACCCAAACATATGAAACTGTATTCATTTTTTTTTTTTTTTGAGAATTGATAACAAAAGCATTAAGTCCTATTGTAAATAAACAGACTAATAGTGTTTAACATATTTTTGTTGCTAATTCACAAGATAAAAGTATAAATACAGATGCTCAGAACCTATTTTAGTGAATGTATGTGACAAAAGCAAATGAAAGAAATGCCAGGAAAATGCTTCTTTTTTTTTTTTTTCCTCCTTCAAAATTTATAATTATGGTTGTCATGTGTTTTTTCTTGTTTGCAGACATTTTTATGAATAAAAATTTTGTTTACATAGTTATTTCTTTATAATATGGTAAATAAATATTGCATTGTAGTTGGTTTACATATTTTTATAAACTTGTAAATAAACAATCTAATGAAATGAAGTGTTTAATACTTCGAAGAAATTAAAAGTTAGAGAAATTATTGTTGATGCTTGATTGGTGTAGATTGTTTTTACTAATGGAACAGAAGGGACATCATTTTTTCACCCTTTTATATTTTTTTTGTAACTGACTCAAAATCTTTATTATAACAAGATTAACTTACTTTATTGTTGGGGGTAGGATTTCTGTA